CAAGTAGCTGGTTTGGTGCCACTGCTGCCCTAGGAGGCCCCCAGGACTCCAGGTAAGGCTGCTGGGGCCATCCCAGGTGCTGCCCCCAGCCTCCCCTACCCGGCCTGGGTTCCCTTGTGTAGCAGGGCCCTGGGGGATGTGCCTCTCCTTCAAGAGAGCAAGCAGCCTGAGAGACTGCTTGCAGGTGGCAGAGGAGAGCTAATGAGAGACTCACCTGACCAGGAGAAGGCTCAGGCTGGAGCTGTATAAGCCCAGAGCCTGCAATCCCAGGTGCTGCCCCCAGCCTCCCCTACCCGGCCTGGGTTCCCTTGTGTAGCAGGGCCCTGGGGGATGTGCCTCTCCTTCAAGAGAGCAAGCAGCCTGAGAGACTGCTTGCAGGTGGCAGAGGAGAGCTAATGAGAGACTCACCTGACCAGGAGAAGGCTCAGGCTGGAGCTGTATAAGCCCAGAGCCTGCACTGGTCAGGTTGTCTCTCCCCAGCCACCATGCAGTGAGGAGCTCCTGGATGCACCATGCAGCAGGGCTCCTGAAGGAACCTGGATTATACTGAATGACTCTGCAGGCCTGGGAAGTGGGCTTTTACAGGTAAGTGGCTTTTGTTTATGTTAGGTCCCTAGAGGGTTGAGGTGTCCGCCAGGAGGTTTGGTGTTATGCTGCTTGTTTAGCCTTGAGCCCTGCATGGCTGGCTCAAGGCCTATTTAGATGGCCAGTAATCCAGGAGCCTTCAGACTGAGAGTGGGGCCCAATAAGGAGTCCAGCAGTCTAGGAAAGGCTGAGATCTGGATCAGATGGTCCATAAGCCTTGAATGGGCTAAACCAGACCAGGGAGTCGGAGAGCCCACAGGAGGAGCTGTGTGCAGGACCAGGGGGTCAGAGAGCCTGGAGGAGGGGATGCTCATGGGGCAAGCAGCCCAAAAGCTCAGAGGGAGACTATGTAGGGGACAAGGGGGTCTGAGGGCCCAAAGGGGGCCGCATGTACAAACATCAAAGAGACAGAACACCCATTAGGCTTGGAGTGTGGTCTAGGGGAGGAAAACAGAGCCATGCAGTGAGCCCTTAAGGCTACGGATGCCTTGGAAGAGCATAGATACAGATGTAGCCCTTAAAGCTACAGGGGCCTGGCAGGAGCACAAGTCAGGCGAGAGGGGCTATAGAGCTTAAGGGTTGAATCCAGGCAACTGAGGATCCAAGAGGGACCCAGGGATATGACAAGTGGACTAAGGCTCACTCTAAGGCCTGTGCACAGCCTCCCTTATCTAATCTATAATAAGAACAAGGCATGGCAATCAAGTAATCAAGGGAAGGCCATAAAAGAGACTGAGCTGGGCAGGGGTCACAGGGCCACCAGGGGCATAATGGCTGCACTTGTGGCTCGAACCTGCTACACCTTGCCACCTACCAGAGTGCATGTGCAGGGGCATGCCCCAAGGACAAATAGCAGTGGTGCAAATATACGTGTTGCTGCTATTTGTCCCACAGGAAACATGCACGCCCCTTCATGTGCATGCTCATGGGGAAACATCCTCAGTATCCTCAGGCACAAAGAGAGCTGCAATCCTAAACCCCTTTCATATCCTTCACCAGCACAGAAACCATGTGTTATCAGACACCATATGCAGAAGGATACAGGTGCAGGTCATGGAATATACAGTACATTACAAAGGGTCAATAACTGTAAGGCAAGAGTATGGACAGGTGTTTAATCTGAGTGCCAAGAATTTCCAAAGCCCCCACAAAATGTGGTGAGAATGGTACCATATCACCTCAAAGGCAAGCTCTCCAGCCCGAGAGGCAATAGAAGGCTGCTGCTTGCATCCCTCTCCCCAAAGTGAATCCAATTATTGACAGCTTGTACTCTCCTCTGCCAGGGAAGGGGGCAGGCTGGCAATGATCTACTAGCAGCTGCTGAAAAGCAGCAAATGCCCAGGTCAGCACCTCCTTCCTCCTCTCCCCTCACACGCATACACACACACACACTGCAGAGGTCAAAGAGATGGCAGAAGAAAAGAGAACTGCTCTCCTCATCTCTGCCAGTCCCAGGCATACCCCACACCCCCTGAGCAGTCCCTGGTAGGTCCAGGACTGCTTAAGTAGTTCCAGCAGCAAGATCCCTTCAGGGATGCTTGACAGCTCACCACCGGGTGTACCATCAGGGAACCAGTTGTTCTCCCTCCTTCCCTACCCCTTGGAGGGAGGTGGAAGGAAAATGGAGGACTGTGGGATACTGGAGGTCCTAGGGACCCCCATGCTGCTATGTGAAACTAGAGGTGTTGCACATGGCACTGCTCTCCACCAAAGCTGCTGGCAGAAAGAGCTAACAGTTTGTGGTGCTATCACTGTAATTTTTCCACACCTGTATGCTTACTTTTTGTGCTGGGAAAAGGTATATTTACTGGCACAGTTGTAATGTCTGTCCATGGCCTAAGTAACTTCTTCAAGGGCTTGCCCATACACAGTGCACTGTCAGTGACTCAAGCAGCAAATCTAACAGTTCACTGCCAGGACTGCCCTACCAATGAGCCGAGTATCTGGGTTGCTGAAATAACTGGCTGTGCTGCATCCAAACTATGAATCTCTTCCACTTGCAACGTAAGTCTGCCTCCTACAAATAAGAATATTCACAGATGACCATGATCTTTGCACTGATGCCAGACAAGTAGTATTTGTGCCAGAAGGTGCAGAAAACGTGGATATGGACAGAGGATTGGACCAAATTTCTGAGATATCAAACCTGGTAGGAATGATAATTGGGTGCATCTACACAAGACATTTACTGTGCAGTTGACTAATTAGCTACACAGTAAACATCTCAGCATCTACACATGCATCCCTATTACACTGGAGTAAACTAATTTACTCCACAGCAAGATAGTACTGGTAAATACAAGTACTACCCTGCTGCAGAGTAAAAAACTCCACAGCAGCGCGTATGTAGATGCTGGAGGGGGCGGCTTGAGCATAAGGGTGCTTCAATGCAGGGACTGCCTGCTGGCTAGCCCTGCACTGAAGCTTCCTCGTAGCCCAGACAGACCCTCTGCAGCACGCTGAGCCAGGGGGAGCAGCCCCAGGCTGACTTACCCCCAGGCCTCTCTGCCAGCTGGGCCCATTCCACCCAGCTATACATTCTGTGCATGAATAAACTCCAGAACTTACTGTCCCAGAGTTAATTGCTCCCAGGCATATGTTCAAACAGAGCAATAAGCTAGGTAGTTTATTTATGCATAGTAATAGCATGTGCATAGTAATAGCTTGTATCAGAGTTTAAGTGGAGAAACCCTTTAGGTCCAAGTAACAGAACTGTCTTGACTACAGCAGAGATACCATAATCATTCTGGGCAAATCTTTTCTAAGAACACAGGAATGAAACTGAAGGTCCATCAGGTCCTGAAGGCCATGTTCTCATGAATGAATCAGTTTGGGTTCTCCAGCTCTTCCCCATCTTGAGCAGAAGGATAGCTCTACTTGAGAATGAGTCTTGACTTATGTGGTCAGAAGGATAGCTCTACTTGAGAATGAGTCTTGACTTATGTGCAACCCTGTGGTCACTTGAAAACTGTCTGGTGAAGTGGTCTATCACCATGTGTTGTAATGCTATTAGGTGCTAAAAGGTTGCTTTCAAAGTTTTTTTTGGTCGATACCAAAATTCTTTTGATATGTAGCTGCTTGACATATAGAAGTAGAACTTTTTCTTCCCTGCTTATTTCAGACATGGCTGCTGGATTGTCCATTAGCATCATGATTCGACTCGCTGATCTTTTCAGCAGCAAGTGCAACTCTGTATACATTTGATAAATGGCTCCAAGACATTATGTGGAATCTAGTTCACTGAGTCCATATGGCTAGCATCTGACGATCATCCAAATGGACTCCCCAACCTAATGTCACAGTCGTTGATGACAAGGAAAGCAACATTCTGCAGACTTTGGAAGTAAAGGAGTGGGTCTGTACACAGGCATCATTTGACATGAAAACCTTATGGTCCTCACCCAAACCAGCCCTTTCACTTAGCTTCCCTGCATGGCTGCCTTCATGTTATTTCAGTGGCTGGGTCACTGAGAAAAGGCCTTGCTTCCCTTATTTCTGTGCAAAGGTAGGGACTCCCAAGCTGGGTTGTCCCTCTTAAAAGGCCCTTCCCTTTTTCCCTTTGTTCTTTGTAATGGGGACCAAAGAGGGTCTTGTTACAGGGTTCCTTTACCAAAGTAACCATGATAGGACCTGGACCATCTCAAAGCCATCTGAAGTAGAGGTAGATGACTCAGGACTATAGCTCTATCTAGAGATGAGAACAGAAGAACTGAATCAGGATGGTGCTTCACTTGACATGTGTCCTCAGAAACATGAACAATCTGTTCAGCTGGCAGAGGGGAACACCAATCTGGTAGTAAAGCTGCCTTGTAAGGTGTACAAGGGGGTCTAGGTGAAGATTGGGAAGCAGTCATTGGCCTCCTGATCATGACATGGTCCATCCTCCAATGAATCCTGTAAAAGGGGGTATAAAGGGCTAAATGGCTTAGGGGGAAGATATCAAGGAGTTAGTATTCCTTTTTGAGTTTCTCGGTCTAACATAATAACATTCAGATTTCCATTCCCTCTCAGAAATACATTGCCTGGCTCTCAAGGAATATACCAGTGACACCTTTCTAGCACTGAAAGACTCTGAAGAAAAGGCTGAAGAGTCTTCTCTAAGAGGAGGAGTTATGGTAACAGGTATGCTAGGAACACCTTTAGATTGTTATCCTATCAGTACTGCTGATGTCCCCAGACTAGTGCCAGAGCAGCACTTAGTCTGAAGAAAGTGGATTCATCACTGCCAAGAGTGGAGAGACTAAGATAAGAAAAAAAAATAGGTCTTTTGTCACCGTATAGAATTTTGGGACCAAATATGTTAGTGCTGAAATTGAATAGACAGAGTTAATCTGGGGTAGACTGTGTTTAATAACCCCTCCCAATTTAAATCAGAACAGTGTTGGAACTGCTTCTAAAGGATTACTGTCTCTTACCTGTATTTTTCTGTGTGGTCTCAAACACTGAAAGTGTGTCATCACTCAGAAAATAAGAAATGATGAACTTCCGACCCTTGTCAATGGGATTATCAGTAATAAGTATTGCAACAAAGCGCAGCACATTACTTTCAAGGCCATTTCTAATAGGACAGAAGAAGAATAGAATTAAGTACACATTGTGATGAAACTTTTCATCACTTGGAAAAGCATTCCCCTGACTGGTGAAATAAATTACCGTATTTCACGGTGTATAGGTTAACACAGTGTATATGTCAACCCCATTTTTCTGATCCAAAAAGTTAGGAATTTTATAGATCCAGTGTATAAGTCAACCTAAGTTTTTGGATCAGAAATATGGGGTCGACTTATACTAGCCCCTGTGTACCCTCATTGTGGGCCAGGCACCTGGGGGGTGGACACATGCTGCAGCGCCACTTGTAGGGGAAACAAAGCCAGGCTTGGTGCTTGGCACATGCAGCCCAAGCAGCACTGCTTGCAGGGGGTGGGGCTGCACCAGCTGAGCACCAAGCCCAGCCCCATCCCTGACCTGTGAGTGGTACAAGGCTCAGTGCTCAGCTGGCGTGTCCCCATCCCTTGTGACCAACGCTGTCTGGGCCATGCCAGCCAAGCGCCAAGCCTGGCCCCATCTGCTGTGAGTGGCACTGCTGACCGCCAAGCCCAGCCACACCAGCCAAGCACCGAACCCAGAGCCACTTGCAGGGGACAGGGCTGGGCTCAAGTGACATGAGTTTCCCTTGTTTCCCCCCCAAAAAAATCATTTTCTCCTTAAATTAATGGAGTCAGTCAAGCTCAGTCAGACAGAAGTGTCCAGGGGCGAACTAACTGCTTCTCTGCTACAGATCTGGACTGAATTTGAATTCCAGTTAAACTGCAACCAAGTTCAAAGTTTGTTTCCAGAAAATTCTTGGGGGAGGGGACATGATTAGATGTATTAACTTTCAGACATAAAATGTGAACAAAAAACAATATGAAGATTCTATCCTGTAAATCTGCCCAGATTATCTTTCCAGTTGGTAATTTTTTAAGACAGCATAAGTAAATTTAAAGATGCAGATATTACTGTCTAAAAAGATTCACAGTAGTAATATACAGAATTAGAATATTACTAAGTCATCTACTAATAGCATTTTCCTTTTCTGAAAACTATACAGAGGGCGAGTGGACCTCAGAGTTCTGGTATGCAGCTTTGTTATTCACTTAGAACTTGTAAGTCATGGCACCGTCTACCATCTGCTCAGGCAACTCACAAGGGAAATGAAAGGTGCCAATGTTTAATAGTGCTACAGTACAAGCGTGCATGAAAATCAACAGACAAAGAAAGTAAACACCAGGCAATCTCAGGAGTTCTATTTCTGGAGCTTTTGGCTTTGTTTTTCTTTTTTTGGACTGAGGGCCTGATTAAATTCCCCCTGAAGTCAATGGGGCAGGGGGCAGAGGAGCTACTTTCACAGAAGACATTAGTAGCCTATGTTACAGAACGGTCTGTTGCTAACACTTAGAAGCCAAGTGACCTTGGTAATTCCACTGATATCTTAACTTCCCTACCCTTCCACAATCAGGAATGAAAGAAACTGACTGAAATGATCTCTCTCTAAAATACCTGTCCTTCTCCATGAACTTCTTGAAATCTTTCTGTGGAGGTTTGGGAAACAGACCCAAGCAGGAACAAAGAGAATCCTCTTCAGACCCAAATCCAGTGTATGGTGGAAACTTCCTTTCTATTTTTGGAGGACGCAGAGCCTTGTATGGAATTGGAGTAAAATCCTCTGAAAAAAAAGACAAGATTTTTTTTCTGCTGTTTTTGTTGTTCAGATTATGCTAGTCCATTAAAGATTCTGCATGTTTCTTGTTAACACGCATTCAACAGAGCACCTCTCATCTTCATACCTACTCCCTGGGTGAAATCCAGGTTCCATTGAAGTCGATGGCAAAACTTCCATCATTACCTCAAAAGGGCTGGGATTCCACCCACAACATGTCAAATTTGGTAGAAAAGCATACATCTCAAAAAGACAAATGGTACTTCAAAACGGATGGAGGAAAAAAAATATTTTTAAAAACACGTTCAGTTTCTACCCGTGGATATTGTACCACTATTTCAAAATGTATTTGTAGACTTTTCCCTCTGCTTTTTGTTGATTTCCACATATTGTATAAAAACTCAAAAAGTTTAAGTAAGCCTTCCTCAAATGCCAATAAAATTAATCCCTTATGCCACCCATAGCGAGACTTTTTAAGCTTTAACATTAGTCCAGCCTACACTCTCAAATACTGTCTTCAGTCAAGACACATTTATCAGCTTTACCCCATTAGGATGATCCCTTTTATAACATAAACATGATGAATAACTATCTGTCTTCAACATATCAAGAGTGTCCTAACGTCCACCCTGCTTTCTACAGCCAGTAACAATTCTGATGTGCTAATGCAGGAGTCAGGAACCTACAATCTGAGGGTGGGATCCAAGCTGCAGAGCCACTGGACCCAGTCTGTGAATGGGGAGCTTTGGTGGCAGGCACTTCTTCTCTGCCATGGCCTGCCTGCTCACCTCTGACCTGAGCTGGGACATCCCAGCCTGCTCTAATGTACCACTCATTTTTCTGTGAGCCTGTGTTTTACGTTATTACAGTTTCCAAGCACCAGTGAGGTGTCCAGCCTATAGCCAGGGACCTACTGGTGACACTGTATCTATCTCTGCTTTTCCCCCTGTTTAAGGAAAGTACATTGACACTGACAACAGAGATAGATGCTTGGAAATTAAGGTAAACACACAATAGATAAATCACCAGCCTGAAGGATGACGAAGCACAAGCTCCTAATCCATAAGAGAACTAAAGGCCCTAATAAAGGCAGAATATAAAATGACCCTAAAGAAGGAAGTATTTTTCCTCCCAAGTCTTGCCTCTTCTACCCAGAGAGATACAGTAGTGCCATATTCTCCTCCACTCTTTTAATCAGAAAAAATGCATGCAGTAAAAATGGTAAAATTTAACACAGTTCTAAAGGAAGTTTAAAATAATGTAATAAGCATTACATTTTTATATGGAGCAATCCTAATATTAGTGTAATATAGTTTTGGTTACAGCACTGATAGAGGGTAAGGGTGAAGTTTAGGCTAGATCAAACTTTCTCTGAACTAGCTTGTCAATCTCCATGTTTCAAACATCTTAATAAAAGAAGATCATAGTAACTTACTCTCTTTTAAACTTAGATTTAATCAGAAACAAATTTGAGATTGAAAACTATGGAATGAATGAATTTAGATGTCAGAATTCTCTTAAGTACAAAGCCTAAACACAAGAAGCACCTTCATCTTTCTTCAGCCAATTATTTCTACTGAGAACAAGATATTGTAGGCGAAGCTAATAACTTCTTTTGATTACTTCTTTGGTCTGGAATAAAGGGAAAAAAACCAATATTTTTTTTCCTAAGTAGTTATCCATTCCCTCTGTGATACAGCACGTTTAGACAGTACTAGTTTGGAGAGCTCAAACCTCAAGTCCATACATAAAAGAAAGGCTTCTGCTTGGAAATTTTCAAAGCACTTGGCAGACCAAAAAGCCCCACTGCAACAGATTACCCTCCGTTTATAAGTAATGATGTGGCAAAACATTATTTTCTAAATATTGTTTTTGACAAAACAAGCCCTCAAAAGAAATTTTCCTCATAGTATGAGACGAATTATGCATGCAACTTTTGTTAAAATAAACTGTGTACATCGGTCTGCACACAGAGAGATAAAAAAGCAACTAGAGATAGGTTTGTGTTAGAATTAGAATTAAAAGATGACTAGACATATAATTTTTAATTTAAAAAGAACTGTAGGCTTTATAATGTACCTTTTTCTTAGTACTGATGTATATCAGTTGAGGGACCTTTAGAACAAATGGAACGCTGATTAAGATCTTTCTTGCATACCAACAGTGCCACCTAGTGCATACATACTAGATGAGACAAAGATAACTCTTCAATTTAGATTTACTTACTTAGGTTACCCAGCATTTGTATATCTCTTTAAATCAGCTTAACCTACAATCAACAGCTTACATGGTTGCTCTGTGGCCTTCTAAACAGTACTTATAAGTCACAATGCCAATAAAATATTACAGCTGTCAGACTGAGGTTCCCACTTTTGACTTGCCATGACCAAGTTCATAAAAATCAGTGTAGAGATCATTCCCATGCAACTACACAATTTTCTTGTGTGGTCTATAATTTAGGTGCTTGCAACCAGCTTCTTAACAGTCAAGTGATTTGTTATCAGTGATCTCATATTTTCTCTCTCATAGTCCTGGAAGACTGCAGCAATACAGCTTAGCAGAAGTTTTGTCTGTGCACATTTGTAAATAGCATGTCTTCAACTGGAGCATAAGGTCATCCATATGTCATGGAATATATACAAAACATCATTTTATTATTTATACGTGCCTCACAGAGAGCATATCCGGCATCATTAGACACTGATGCAGCAGCCAGTCCCTAAGACAGAGCTGTCCAACAGGCAGCCTGCAGGCCACATTGAGCCCACAAGGGATTAATGTGAAGCCTCTGGGCTCCCTCCTGGGTGCCACATGCCCCCACTGCTCGTGTTCCTGTGGCAGCCAGGGTTTCTGAGGCACAGCACCATCACGGGAGAGAGCCCAGTGGTCCAGCTGCTTGCACAGCGTGTTCCAGGGCCCACAACCAGTATGGCATGCAGTGGTCCCAGCTGCTCAGAGGTTGAATGCCCTGCCCTAAGACAGGCTGAAAGAGGCATCAACTTGCAGGAGACTATAATTATTTTAGTGCACATGGATGACAATACTCCTAGAAATATAAAGGAGAACTACAAGTAAAAGTGAAAGTGATATGAATCAATGGCATGCACTAAACATATATATATATATCCCCCAAACATCCAAAAATAATTTCTCAAAACTAATTTGATGACAGAGAGGGAGCATTATACTAACAAGTGTGAGATTTCTTCTCCTGCTTCCAGTTTCACAGTGTTTTTTAAGAGTATCTACATTCCCTTAAATTGTGGAGAATACAGCCCCAAAATAGTTTTGTCTCTTCTCCACGTGAAATTCTCTCAGTACATCCTGGTTCTCTGAAGAGAATACAGAATGTGACAACACAGGTCTCACTTAAATCTACAATGTTTGTGTTTTCACCGAATGTTCAGGATTTATCTACAGAAACATTTGAAAGAAATCTGTTAAACTTACTTCTGTGCATGCCTGAGAGCTTAGTTAATGCATTAGTCTCGTATGTGCATTTCTGAATTTAACATCCTTTTTATTTTTGCTTTTCAATGCAACATTTGGGCTGCCAATTTGCATGTTTAACTCTATTTTTCAAGGAAATTATCCACACCTGTTTTGAAAAAAACATATTTCCCTCTTTTATGTCTTAATGACTTAATGTGAATTAAATTTTAATTTAAATTAAATATTTTTAATGTGATAAAGGCTGAACTGAAAGCCTTGGACCATGAAGTTCTCTGTCTAGATAGGTCAGGAAAGGCATGGCCACTTGTCATTGCCCCCACAAGGCTGCCTCAATTGACAGAACATCTCTACTAGTGAGAGTCTCCACAGCAATTCAAGGATACCAAACTTGGTGCCAGTTCTTGTGATCAGATCGCTGATCTACTAGGAAATGAACCAACACCATCCAGTTCATTGCATATCATATGCTGACAGTCACTTGGTATAATAGTAATAATAAAAAATAATACCTGTTACTCAAGAAAGCAAGACCTAGGACAGATACGAACTAGCAAAAAAAGAGCCCCCTTAGCATGGCATGGCACCCTGAACTCCTCAAGAGCAATTTGGTGGCACAGAAGGAGCATTTTTTTACCACGAGTGAGATTTCATTTCCTGCTTCCAGATTTAATGTGGGCATAAAGATCACTGCAGTTCTCTTGGACTGAAAACAAGTAACAGGTCAAGAGTAACATTTGCTGAGTTCTTCCCAAAGAGAGATCTGTCTGTCTATCCAGCCAAAGCAGAATCATACAGTAACCTTGCATGGTTCAGAGACAGAGAGATGAACTTTCAATCCAAATTTTTTATTGTTTAAAGGAATAACCAAAGGTCATATATCCTTGGTCGCGGACAATGTGAAACAGTGGGCACATTTACATGAAACATTTACTGTGGAGCTGCCTAATTAGCTCTGCGGTAAAGTCTCAGTGTCTACATGTGCAACCCTGTTAGGCTTCAGTAAACAAATAAATGCCACCGTAGATTAGTGCTTGTCAACACAAGTAACATCCTACAGCAGAGTTATTTAGCACACCGCAGTACACATGTAGACACTGACAGGGCTGGCTGGGGCACAAGGGTGCTTCAGTGTCGGGGTTGCCTGCCAGTGGCCCCACGCTGAAGCACCTTGGTGCTCAGTCAGCCCCTCTGCAGCACACTGAGCCAGATCAGGGCAGCCCCAGGTGGACAGGCTGACCCCTTGGGACTCCTGCCAGTAAGGGCTGCTCTGACCTGGCTCAACATGCTTCAGTCCTGGGTGCATGTGTAAACATGGTGCCCAGGAATAATAAACACCGGTGAAAACTGTGCCAGTTTATTGCTTTTTTATTGCTTCACATTAACAGCATGTGTAGACGTGCCCGACATGTTGCATATTAAATGCATAGTGATTACCAAAGAGTGTTGATTATTGTATGTATAAGGAGACACTTCTTAGCATTGAAGTCACAGACAGTAAGGAAATATTTTTGTGTTGTGACAACATTCTGTGAAAAGGATAAATATAGCCCTTCCAGGCACAAATTCATGAGTACTTTTCAAATCTCCTCTGGGTATGTATTGTTTGCAGTACATGTATGACCATAGCAGAGTTCAGTTATTTTTCTCCTTTTCTGCAGATGCATTAGCAAAATATAAGCAGGTCATGTTCCATACTGAGGTGATTTCCATTGCTTTCATAGCAATGGTGCATTTATCCATGATCATAATATTAATCATCCTGTTAAAGGGAAGCACAATGTTTACTGTTGTTTACCCTCTAAAACATTTCCCTTTGCTTCTCAAAAATCTTACGAAGAACAAAATAGGCAGAAATACTGGAAATACTCTGAATATCATAATCATTCAAAAGAAGCCTATACCACACTTCATTCTCTTAAAGGGCTACTTCTAGCAGTATTTAACACCTGATGAAGTAAGAGATTAAAAGAAATGCCGGTCCTTCCCAAAACTTCAACAAAAAAGTGTAAATGTAAGACAGCAACTTACAATCACAATGATGATGCAGGTATCAAATTTATGCCCAATTAGTTACTGTCTAGTAATGCACATGGAGATGTATTACTGTGCAGTTAGCCAGGGGGCCTCCCTGCTGGGTCTGCCCAGTCACTCGGGGGCTGGCCTAAGCCCAGCCCCAGGGCTCCTGGCTGGCTGCCTCTCCTGGCTTCAACTTGGTTCCAGGTCACCTGCACATGAAGACACCGGCCTATTCCAGCTTACTGCGCAGTAATTTACTGCACAGTCATAGGTGGCAGAAGCAGGGGGCTAACTGGACTCAGCCCCCCGGAGCACAGGGGGCAGCAGATCTGGCCAGAAGTCAGCCCGGCCACAGGCTGCTGCAGCAGCAGGGGAGGGACGCACACACTCAGGTACCCTGCGGCACACAGCCAGGATCCCAGCTGGCCCAGCAGGCAGGTAAGTTTCTTTACCTGGGCTTGGGGGTGCAGATCAAGACCTCCACAGTGCAGGAGTCAGTGAGCTAGGGACAGAAGCAAATCATTCACCCCTGCCCCTGCCCCTCTCCTTGCTGCACTGTGGGAATTGTTCCATGACCCAACCTGGCCCAACCAAGGCCCCATTCACAGTGAATGGGGCCCTGACCGGGGTGGTTCTAGGACAACTGGAGCCCAGCAGCTCCTCCAGAGGCACGGCGTGGCACCAGGGAGCCTGGGGGGGTGCCCCCCTGATCTTTGCACGGGGCAAGGGCAGGCTGCAGCTGTGAGCTGGGCTCTGCCTGCTCCCTGCCTCCGCATCTTGCTGCCACCATCAAAAGCAGCACAGCCCGGCGCCATGCAAGTCCCACCACTGTAGCGAGGCACATGGCACTGCGCCACACTGCTGTCAAAGTTGGGCTGGGTCATGGGGCAATCAGAGTCCAGCAGCTCATCCAGCGGGTGCAGCCTGGCACAGCCCCAGTCCCACTCCACCCCCACAGCCCTTCCCCCTTTCCCTGCAGGCTTTCTGCAGGGGGGGCGCACATGCACATAGGCACTCAGCCC